TCAACTATTTTTTTTTTCTTTTTTTTTTTTAAAAATGGAATAAAAAGAAAAATAAATTGCCTATCCCCGGCAACGGCGCCAAATTTGACGTGCACTTTGTCGTGAGTGCACTCAAAATAAATTCAACACTAGCACTTATACGTAGTATAGGTGAAGTAGAGTTCGTATCCACAGGGAAAGGAATAACTCTTCTTTTTATGTAACTAGTAGAAAAAGGGGGATTTTGATTGAGTGATTTAATTAAAATTGAACACGAAGATGAACGAGTTATGTGGTTTAATTTAAAGATAAAAGAGACTTGGCATTGCTACTTTCCACTTATTGATATATTTTAGTCGATCATTGTTATATCTATAACTTATCTCCTCTCGAATACTCAATCGAGGAGCATATCCAATTCATCGAGGATAGTTATTAACAACGACCGTTCATTAATAACCCTTACTATTAGCCAAGTATAGAACAAGCGCCGTATACTGACTTGATAGTAGCATTTAATCGCTTAACTCCTTGATGAAATCAATTGAGATCGATAACCTCAACACAAGCGGTTTCGGTTTAACCAACACAATTAATCCCTCTTAAGTCTATTAACCACGACCGTGCATTAATAGACCGAAGTTACTTACTTGTGAAACTATCAACGATTAACCATTGGTTCGTTGATTGTTTCTAGTAGTAATTAATATATGAAACAAAACTAGTTGATCCTTTAAGTAATGTTCAAAATATTAATATGAAATATGAATAGGAATTAATTGATACTCAAGGAAGAATATTAAAGAAGATGAATCCTACTATAATTAATATTAAGATGTTAACTAATTGTCATCTTAGTAACACTCCCCAATATTAACATAGAGGAAGAAATGACTATTACTATAACTAATGTCAAGATGTTAACTAATTGTCATCTTAGCAACACTCCCCAACATTGATATAGAAATAGCATTTGAAGAAAGAATTAATATTCAAGGAAAGAAGTTAAGAAAATAACTCACAACTTTAATAATCAACAAGCTTCAAGAGCAATACCAAGAAATGGAAGTTTAGCTCCTCATTTGGAGACTAAACATGCTAAAAGAAATATAGAGAAATGCTATTCTAAACTGAGCTTAAGAGTACAAAGGAATTGGTAATCTAAAAGTGAAGGAAAGGAGGTGTATTTATAGGCTTTTTGAGGTGCAGGATCGAGTACTTGATCGAGTATGTATACATACTCGATCGAGTATGTATAGAAATCAGAATTTGGTCAATACTCGATCAATACTCGAGTAGATTTTATATGTATACCCGATCGAGTATATAAGTATACCCGATCGGGTATAGACACTCGAACGTGGGAAAATCTTCTCCTGCATGTTCCTTTGTTTTCGGATCCGATCCGATTTGAAATGTCAACCAGATACCCGATCGAGTATATGTATATACTCGACCGAGTATAGACCAAAATCAGGATTTTTCCTTCTTTTTGTCTTGTACTCTTGCACCTTCCTTCATTATTGATCATTTGATTGATCTTGGACCTGTTTAAGCTCAGAATAAACCTAATCTAAACAAATTACAAGAATTTAACAAACTAAACTATTACACCGAAAGTGTGTAATTTCCGAAATATTAAACAATCAAAACTAACTAAAAACGTAAATAAACATACGGAAATTACAAACGTATCAAGGAACCTTCTATAAAAATTTCATAAAAAAACTCCACCGGGAACCCTCAAAATGGCGGCGGCCGGACGGAAGATCTTGTCCCTCCGGCTGGATAGGATCATTCCTGTCCAGCCGGAGGGACAGGACCCGCTGTCCGGCCTTCGCCATTTGGGGCCCTTCCCGGTGGAATTTTTTCTGAAATTTTTTGAGCATGTTCTTGATGAAGTCTAGTTTATCCATACCAAATTTCAGCTAAAAATTCAATCGGGAAGGCAGTCAAATGATTTTTGGAAGTTAACTGCGCAGTTTATATACATATAAAACGCAGTTATCTTCCAAAAATCATTTGAAAGCCTTCCCGGTTGAATATTTAGATGAAATTTGGTATGGATAAACTAGACTTGATACAGAACATGCTCAAAAAATTTCATTAAAAAATTCTACCGGGAAGGACCTTTGATGGCCTTGGCCGGACGGCCCCTCCCGTCCTTCCGGAGGGACCTAATCTTTTTTGTAGATAGATAGATAGATAGATAGATAGATAGATAGATAGATAGATAGATAGATAGATAGAGAGATGCTACAAATAGTACTCCACCACTTTTAGTAGACAAAAGTGTGATCAACTTCATATTTACCAAAAAAATTGACCGCTGAAGCTATTTCCCTTGATTTCATTCGTGTTGCACTCATAGTCATAGACGAAGACATCAACGCAATTTAGGAAAGGAGCAATACATCGACTCAAAGCTCATCTTCTCCATAGGCAGAGCAGCCAGACTGCACCTTCCTCTGTTGTTTGGCCGTCGCTGCCTTGGTTGTCTCCATTGCCCTCCGTGGACAGAGCCCAACGGATCGTCGCCGCCGCCCTTCTCCTGGTCTTCTTCGTTTTTTCCCCGACCACAAAAGCGGACAGATTGTCGTTGCCTTTGCAGCGCCCTCTCTCTACGTTTGGTTATGTGGTGGCTAGGGTTTTTAGCGATTTGGTTGCTAGGAGCAACACCGTCGGGTTATCCAGATGGCGGCTAGGGTTGGTTGGGGGTATTGCGATGGCATATGATGTGATTTGGGCCATGGGAGGGAAGGGGGGGGAGGGGGGTTTGGAGGCTCAGAAGGGTAGGCTATGAGCTGTCAACAACGGCGGTAAGTCCAGGTGGCCCATATTGCGGCAATAGGAATGTTGTGGCAGCGTTCGGAGTTGGTGCGATGGCGCTGTAGGTGGCGGGGACGTATTGGTGTTCCTTTGCTGCCACTTTTAGCCGGACATGGTTGGGGTTGGGAAGCGTGATGGTCGCCGTGTCTCCAGGTGCGCGACAACGACTTTCGAAGGCTCGGAGCTATGGATGATGTATAAAATTTTGATCGGAAAAAGTTGTCTGAATTTTTTTTACAGCACATGGACACGTGTACGGCGGCAGTCACATCTTAAAGTGACATAAAAACAGGTGGTGACATTCCAAAGTGACATAAAAACGGGTGGTAACATATGAAAGTTACTTAAAAATATGGCAGTGACATAAAGATTTGGCATTGACATTATGTTATCCCAATTATATGACTTTCTTAGTCACTTTTTTGTCTTTTTATAAAAATGGTCACATTTTTTGAAATCGGCTTTAATTTAGTAAATTTTCAAGTAAAAAGCCCATATGTATGTATGTGTTTGTAATTAGGGGTGTAATCGAGCCAAGCCGAGCCCGAACTCACATATGCTCGAACTCAAAAATGTTCTACATCCTCGAGCTCGGCTCAATCGAGATCGAGCCTAAATATTATAGCTCGAGTTCGACTAAAAAACTTTCACTATAGCTCGCGAGCTGCTCGAGATCGACTCGACAACCTAGGTTATCAATTGCAGACCTTGCAAATGTTATACTTGTTTGATGCTTAAATAATTAAAAGGAGATGAGTTCCTTTATAGATGGATAGAAGTTTAAAATTAAAATGGTGTAACTCACGAACTACAAAAATACTGAGGAAGAGGGTTTCGAACTCGGGTTGTCAACACAAATTCAGGCCTAGTAATTTTCCAACTCATCTACACACGGATGTGATTATAATGATCTTAGTTGCTTTTTAACCTTGTTTTGAATGAGCTAATAAAAAAATAAATACTTGCTCCGTATTATTATAAATTAATATGATTACATATGGTTATAATAATAAATAATATTATATTCAATTATTACTATTATAATACCATAAGTATTAGAAATAAAGTAATCCTCAATTAGAATAAATATTATATATATATATACATATATATATATATATGTATGTATATATACATATATATACATATATATATACATATATAGATACATACATACATACATACATACATACATACATACATACATACATACATACATACATACATACATACATACATACATACATACATACATACATACATACATACATACATACATACATACATACATACATACATACATACATACATACATACATACATACATACATACATACATACATACATACATACATACATACATACATACATACATACATACATACATACATATATATATATATATATATATATGGAGAGGGTTCTAGTGAAAACCCTCTTAAAATGAGAACCCGTGAGAACCGGTGGTATTTTTGGCTGAAATTTTTTGTGTATGTTCCTCACCAACTCTAGTTCATCCATACCAAATTTGAGCAAAAAATTCTATCGGGAAGGTCGTCAAATGATTTTTGAAAGAAAACTGTGTTTTATATGTATATTCCGGACCAGTTTTCTTTCAAAAATAACCTGATGCGGAACATACACAAAAAATTTCAGTCAAAAATACCACCGGTTCTCACCGGTTCTCATTTTAAGAGAGGTTCTCACTAGAACCCTCCCCTATATATATATATATACACACACATATACACGGTAATACACCCATACACATATTAAGGCTCGCGAGCCACGAGCCTAAAATAAACAGGCTTGATTCGAGCTTGTTAAGTATTCGAGTCGAGCCGAACTCGAGCTGATCCGGAATATGCCGAACTCGAGTCGAGTTTTTACCGAGCGAGCCACGAGCGGCTCGCGAACGGCTTGGCTCATTTGCACCCCTTTATGTAATTAAATTGTGGTTAAAAATGTTTCACTTTGACCGATTTTAGTTTGGGACTAGACCTAGTTAATAGTTAAGCAAACATAATACTTCGCGAGAACATCTTTGTCTTGCATGATGCTTGTTTTCAGATTAGACTCAAGCACACCAAAGTAAATTCTAGGATAAGAGAGAACATCTTTGTCTTGCATGATGCTTGTTTTCAGGTGAATTGAATTGTGATGATGCATGTAATTTTTTCTGATATCATAAGGGAGCCTGGAATGTGGAGCAAGAGTTCTTGGCACACATCGGTAAGATGGAGGTGGAAATCTTCTCCAAGCTCGATTGGAACATCGTTGATGTGAGTGCCATATCCTTTGGCAATTGTTTTGCCAAGATGTGCCCTCTTGACCTTCCGGCTTTGATGATCAATAAGCTGATCGTGGAGGCCCAAGATGGTGAGTTCAATCACTTACGAAGTACTTCGTATATCATTTGTTTTCATTATAAATATGTGGCTTAGGCATGACCGTGGCATACAACTCACTTAAAATCCTTTTACTAAAACCAAAACTAAATGAATCGCTTGAATCTATTCTACTTGGTGAAATTCAGATTGGTTGAATCTGTTCTAATTGGTTAAATTCAGATTGCTGGGAAGCAGTTCTATGGGTTGAATTTGTCAAATTGTGAAAAATTTAAATATTTATAATATATTTTATAGATAAAAAACTACATGAGAATAGTTAAAATAGTCTACTTTAGCACTTTCAATCAGTTCAGTTAGAATGTTTTTACTTGGACTGCTTTCAGTCCTAGACCAGACCAGTTCAGATTAGATCAAACCAGATTAGACCAAACTTGGATAGTTATTAAATACACATAGAACAGACCAGACCAACAAATTCCAGTCCTAGTAAAAATATCCTTAAAAACATAAATTTAATCATATTTATTTTGATTACTAAACAATTAATGTGGGAAATAAAAAAATAAGTTTTGTACAAAAAATTGACCGTGGACAAACCAAAATAGATGTTCGTCTTTTGGTAGAACCCTACAATGGATATTTTTTTTCATGGTCCCTACAATGGATGTTAAAACGAGTTCTTGCATTTTCTCATTGTTGCGATTAGAGCAGTATGGAACGAATGGAAAATAGGGTTAATTCCCTTGTGTATTCAATAGACTAAGTAAGAGTATTTATACAAGCTAATTACAAGCTATAGGGTAAAATAATATACAAGCCCAAAATATCTGCAGCCCATATACATATATTACGGTCTAATACTCATTAATGCATCATATTTCATATATATATAATTATATTATATTATATACTCCGTTTAATGTCACAGACATAAGTTACTCAACGTACAAATGCTCTGAGTTGGCCGCTTCAGCAGTCCTTGCAGTTTGTGGGATCAAATATCCGGCCCACGTTGATCTTGTTCGTGCCATATTGGCACGCTACGTCCATGAGGTAATAAGGATGTTTTTACTTGGACTGTAATTTGCTCCAGACCAGACCAGACCAGACCAGTCCAGACCAGACCAGACCAGACCAGTTCAGACCAATATTGAAATTTATTTTCACAAATATGAGTAATAATTACTATAATGTAGTATCATTGTGATTAATGTTTAAAAATTGAACATAAGTTACTATGATTTCATTACTCCTATTGTCACCAGTCATATTTTTGTAAATAATCTTTATCTTAGTCATAAATGTGTAATGCTTTCATATTCTTTTGCATATTTCTTTCTCATATGCACAATTCTATACTTCATAATTTTCACTTTCTTAATTTACGTGCACAAGTAAATTGAAAGATTAAATTGGGTCAAACATAGGAATAAAGACACTATACAAACACAAATTTGGGACATCATTTTGTGTACACTTTTTGTTATAATGCAGTTTTATGTAAATGTAAACAACCAATGCAATGAAGATTATATATTGGGCTACTAACAAGAAATTTACGACTACGTAGTGTATTACTGCATGTGAGGAAGAATCGAAAGAGAGGCAATTATAAAATCAATCACCAATAAATCTTCACTAATGCTCAACTCTAATAATAGTTATAATCTGCTCCCTTCTGTTTTGGATCTATGCTATTAATAGGCAGTGAGCAGGTATGCTACTATGCTCCGATCAGGGCCGGCCCAAGGCAAGTGCCGCAGGTGCGACTGCACAGGGCCCATAAATCCAGAAGGCCCAATTTTTAATAGTCCTCCTACTATTATAATCCTACTCAAAGCCCAATAGTTATTCCCATGCTACATTAAAAATGATGAAGCCAGGGGGATTCGAACCCTGGCTACTCTCTAACACATGCAGACCGTATGCCATCTCAACCGAATGGTGGTTGTTAACATTCATTCAGTTTTCGTTTTTATATCATACAATGATTAATATTAACTTTACTAATTGATATTAATTTGTAATTTTAATAGTAACTATATATTAATTTATAAAAATGCTCATTAACTATGAAATGCTCATTAATAGTAACTAAATGATATTTATGAAATGCTCATTACGTTTATCAATTTTATTTATAAATTATCCATTAATTACAAACACATCTTAAATTTATGACTATTTTATAAACTGATACATTAATTTTTAATTTATTCTTATAACCATTGATAAATTTTTGAATGAGAGTTATTTTTTAATATCTTCTTTTTTCGATACACATTGACTGGATTGACATCGGACTGATCCTTCCGAGTCCGGTATTGATTGCTTGTCCGAGTTGAATTGTCTCAATATCTTGTTTTAACAACATAGTGTATTTGCGTGTTTCCAATTCGAAGCTTGAAGCTCTTCCCCAAGATTCAGCCCCACACACCCATGTGATATGCCCTTTTCTCCAATTAATGGAATGATAAACGGTCTAATTTTAGATTTGATTATTCTCTTTGGTTTTATAGAATGCGGAGTAATAATCTTATTTCTTATATTTTGTAATTTATATTGTTCTTTTTTCGGTTTTGATTCCAAGTTTGAATGCTTTAGTACGTAGGTAATTATTTTTGGATGGTTTTGTAATAATTGAACTTGGCAAATCACCAAGTTCAAGTATTAGGTTATTAGTCTATTATTTTACAATTAGCTTTAACAAATAAATGAAGTGTACTTTGTTAAGGAATACTTTTATTTTAACTATTATGTTAGTGAATAACTTATATTTTGATCTAAATTATTATTGTAGCAAATTGTTACAAATATAAAATTTAGTTATATTATATTTTTACCTCTTTTAGAAAAGGCCCACATTTTATTTTTGCACAGGGCCCGTGTTTTCTCGGGACCGGCCCTGGCTCCGATTAATTTGCCAACCCTCCGATTAGGAGTGGGCACAGTTGGTTAACCGTATTTCGGTTAACCAACTTATGGTTAACCGAGATATCGGTTGGTATATTTATAATACCATTAACCGTACCATAACAACGGTTAACCGGGTAAACAATTAACCATAATATAGGTTAACCATTTATTGGTTAACCGAAAAACTATATAGGCGCTCTATCATCAGTTTTGTTGTCACCCAATAAATTACATTTACGTATTGGCAGTTTGCAACGTTATTTTTAAAGGAGACCACGGAGGCACGAACTATTATTGTTTCTAAAATAATGACTTGGAGTAGTTAGTAGGAGTATAATACGTACGTAATACGAAGTACGTAGTTTGATTTATGGTTGTACACGGATGTGCAGTAATACGTATTATATAAATTTTTAAAAAAATGATTTGAAATATGCATTTCCAAAGTTGAGAAAATTGCTTCTATGATTTTGAATTCTGGTTTGACTAATCCGTGAAAAAATCAATTTTGAACTTAAAATGAAATTGTAAGCCAGAGTTGGAACATAATTAAAATTAAATAATAAATCTAAATTGCAATACAATATTTGCAGTTTGCAAATCGATCTGTAGTTCATATTGAATAAAGCTCCTATTATGTACAATACGCAGTTACCGAAAAGTTTTGGGAATTCACATTGTGATTTCTTAAACGGAAATGAACAAAATATATGAATTCCGTAGTAATATACAGTACTACGTATTAATTTTGAGTTATCAGCCGGTTAACCGGCGGTATTTCAGTTCATAACCGTTACCGACTTACCGTACCGTTAATAGCATTTCTATCGGTTGGTTAACCGTCCCGCTAGATTTTAAAAAAACCGTATGGTTAACCAAAAATAGTCCCGGTTTTGCGGTTATTTACCACGGTTAGTCGTTTATGGTTTTTCTTGCCCACCTCTATCTCCGATAGATCCGCACCTCTTCCATCAAAGTCGGACTTCTGCTAAACTATATCCCTACCTACGTGTTTGGTGTCTTGGACTTGATCGCTGAATTTTCATTGCTGACATGCATGGGATTCACTTCACGTATTATAATTGCAATAAACATAAGCTATTTTAACTGAACTAATTTCCGGCCAAATAATTGTCCCTTTCGAAAAGTTGAAGCGTATGAGCATGCACACATGTCAAGCCGTTGAGTGTTGAGCATAAACAATTCACAAATTTTAAAAAACTTGTACTTCACATCCTTAATATAATTATTGCGCCTATTGATTCATCAGCCGTGTGACGAAGCATGTCTTCCCATTCATTATCTATCAGACGAAACACTTCTGTCACCTTCCTGGTTAGTAGCTTCTGATAAAATTTTTCTCTTTTATTGAACCAATGAAGATAGAAGGTTGAAATCTTGTCTTCTTTCCTCCAAAGTTGTGCTAATGACTAGACGCCGGTGAATTAGAATTTCATGCTTGTTGATGTTGACACTTCAGTGGGTGAGGGTGACTTCGCCCGTCGTTGGACGGATGTCGAATTTGGCTCCATGAGTTTGACCAATATCCTAAAAAAACTTTGAATAGTGTTTCGTTTGGATGATAAACTTTCTTGCGTGTTTTCCGCATACGATGTCAAATTGTTTATGCAATTTTATTAAATTTAAACGATCAATGTAATGAAGAGGATATTTGGGCTACTCACAAGAAATATACAACCTCCGGTTTTTTTTAATCTTCACAGTTTGACTTCACACAAAATAAGGAAACAAATTTGACTTTACTGTAGAGTACACTGTTGAGGCACTGTTTGACACTGTTTGACATTGTAGAAACACTGTTTGGCACTGTTTTGATGTAGATTTCTTTGCCAAAAAAGGAAATAAGGAAGTGTGAAGTTTATTTTAGACCGTCCCAAAAAGGAAAGTGTGAAGTTTATTAAAAACCGGAGGGAGTATATCATTGTGAGAGAGAATCAAAGGAGAGGCAATTATAACAATGATCACCAATAAATCTTTGTTAATGTTCAGCTCTAATAATAGTTATAAGCTGCCCTGTTAAGACTCGGGGTTCCATCCTAAAAGGTCAACCTGATAGGAGGAGTAACCCGTGTGTTAATATAGCACTTTGTTCATCCAAACGTTTCCGGTGTGGGACATTTAACACCCCTCCTCACGACCAGACACTTCGTCTGGATCGTGCAATCATTCATTTTTTTTTCATCGGTCCGTTTTTTTTCATCCGGCCATTTTTATAATCGTGTCATCACGATTCATAAGGGGCCCCACACCATGGATCGATTTGGCTCTGATACCATAATAAGTTTTGGTTATTAGAGCAAAATGAAATCATGTCTGCTTCATTGATACAATACTCCGTATATATGTAAGGTATTAATTTCTTCCGTCTCCGGCTCAGGTCTTTCTACACACTTTACTCACATACACCACACTAGGGGAAGCTTTAGCACAACTCTCTGTTTTTGTCTCACCACTAAGTCCTACTCTCAATTCTCACACAAAGGGAAAGAGAAGAAGGAGAGCACTGCTCTCTGGAAGTGTTTCTCGCAGGCTGCTCTCACAAAGAAGGGGAAAGGGTTGACTTATAGTAGGCTGCCAGCCTATGGGCCAACAACAAGGACATTCACGGGATGGCCAAAGGACACTCACGGGTATAGCAAGCCAAGAGCAGGTACTGCAGTGGACAGTACAAGAGGCCAAAGCCAGGTAAGGAGTCAACAGGTATATTATTGATCAGGTAATATACCAAGATAAAAGGTACCAAAGTGGGAGTAAAACAATAGGGTGCAAGCCTCAGCAAATAAAGTGGAAGGGAGGCCTTGGTAGGACCAATACCTCCAACATTCTCCACCTTATTGGTCCTAGGTGGTGTAGAGTAACAAAACAAAGTTGTGACAAGACTCATCATCGCCGGGTCACCCGGAATATCAACAGACACAACGGGCAAACACTTTATTACGCAACCCACAGTTATCCACAATCAAAGTTTAACACGCGTTTACAGGACAAGTGCTTCTCAGCAGAAAGACACTTGGTACCCATATCCGCGGGGTTAAACTCCGACGGGATCTTGCACAGCTTGACTCCACCTGCATCAACAATATCACGTATGAAATGGAACCTAACATCAATATGCT